AGAAAAGGATCTCTCGCCAAAAGTTCTTGTTCTTGATTGTGGCACCATAAGAAGATGTTTACTATTAGATCTCAGATTTCGTTTGTTCTTGTATGGCTGTAGCAGATCAGTGATGTAGGATGGCGAAAGACCATTCAATGCCTTATATGTTAGTAATAAGATCTTAAACTCAATGCGGTTTTGAATAGTGAGCCAATGTAGATCTTTTAAAATTGGCGAAATATGTTCCCTTATGCTTGTACAAGTAACAATCCTCGCAGCACTATTCTGAATGCGTTGAAGGCGCTCAATCTGATARTGTGGTAAACCGAACAACAGGCTATTACAGCTGTCTAGTCGAGAGGTAACAAAGGCGTGTACGAGACGCTCAGTGGTAGGGCGATCCAAGTACTTCCTGATCTTACCGATATTATGAAGCGCAAATGAAGCAGTACTGCATATCTGATTGATATGGGAGTGGAAATTCATATGTTTGTCAAGGAAAACACMCAGATCTTTCACACGATCCAGAGGAGCATGAATGGCTGAGTCACCCACTTTCACATCAGGTGGACTACWAGTTTTACGAGAGAACTTAGAAACAATGTGTAGGGTCTCAGTCTTGGAGTCATTGAGGACAAGAAAGTTCTCTTGTGACCAAGATCGTAAGTTTTCAGCACAATCCTCCAATTTCTGAAGATCAGAAAATTGATCATTAGGATTTAAGACCACATAGATTTGAGTATCATCAGCGTAGAACATAGCATTTAGACCATGGGACTTGATTATATCCTCAATTGGACTAACATAAAGTGTGAACAGCAGTGGSCCAAGGACGGATCCCTGGGGAACTCCATGACTGAGTGGCGTAGACGAAGAGTCACAACCTTCGACAGTAAYATACTGGCTACGATCACACAAGTAAGACTTTAGCTAACATAAAACTGTACCAGATATTCCAAAACGATGTTCAAGTCGATGTAAAAGGATGGCATGATTTACAGTCTCAAACGCAGCCGAGTAATCAAGCAGAACGAGCAACACCTCACATCAAGAGCCATAAGGAAGTCATTAGTGACACGAAGAAGTGCGGTTTCAGTACTATGATGAAGCCGATAGGCGGATTGAAGTGACGAAAAAAGACTGTTTTCAAGCAGATAGGTGTTAAGCTCCGCAGCAACTACMCTTTCCAGGGTTTTWGACAAGAAGGACAGGTTCGAGATCGGGCGATAACTTGCCAAGTTCTCAGAATCAAGAGATTTCTTCTTAAGTCTAGGTACAACACAGGCTATCTTCAATGCATGAGGCACATGACCATTTGATAGAGAGAGATTAACAATGTGTGTTATCGTAGTGGCCAGGACTGATAGACATGATTTTAGAAGATACGTTGGAATGGGGTCTAGTGAACACGATTTCGATGACGATTCCATAATAATCTTAACCACTGCATCAACACCAATATCAGAGAACGTAGTGAGAGAGGACCGACAGACAGGTTGAGCCGTCGAAAAGGCTCTGGGCGACGTCAGAGTTGTCGATTCAACAAGCAGTCGTACTTTTTCAGTAAAGAAATCACGAAAAGATGTTGCTAACTCATGAGCAGAGGAGAAAGCAGGAAGAGTTGATCCAGCAGCCCATTCGCAAGTTTGTCAACTTCAGCAAACAGCATGCGGTTGTCACATCTAGAGATGTGATCTTTGTGATAATTTGTCTTACATCTCTTGACCAAGTCTTGATATTTACTACAATGATCTTGAAAGATCTGTTTGTCGACTTCAAGTCGTGTACATCTCCATCGTCGTTCCTTCCGTCTTTTCTCGCGTTTTTCAGCGCGTAATTCGTCATTATACCAAGGAGCATGAGGACGAATGGTGAGCCAGCGGGTCTTCACAGGTGCATGGACATCAACTATTGACTTCAATGTTGCGTTGTACTGTTCGACTAGTTCGTCTAACGTCACTTTAGGAGCAGCAACCAACAATGAGTTTTGAATGTCACTTTCAAGGTTCTTAGTATTGACAGAGCGCAGTTTGCGGTAATTAACAAGAACCTTAACTGGACGAAGTCGAGGTATCTCAATAGTATAAGTGAGCACTGCATGATCAGATGGTAGTTGAAATGAAACCTGTGGTGAAGTGATAAGAACATCAGATTGTCTAG